CCGGGGCCCGGCGCCGCTCGCCCTGCTCGGGTGTAGAGCAGAGAGAGCCTATAGCTCTATAGGGCGCGTGGGGGGCTGCCCCACGAGGCGCCCTCCCCGTGGGTGACGCCGTGGGTGTCCCCACGGCCGCGTGGGGCAGCCCTGGCTGCTCGCCCCGCTGCCCGTGTGTCCCCCCCGCCCCACAGCACCCCCGTCCCCGCCGCCCCCCGCCCTCCTTGCTCTCCACGCGGGGGTCCCCGTGTCCCCAAACACTACAGCAGGGTGGCCGGGGGCTGCCCGTGGGGCGGGGAGCCCTGCACCTCCGAGCACGCTGCCCTCCCGGGGCAGGGCAGGGCCTCACCGTGTCCCTAGAAATGACAGGAAAACGGGGTCGATGATGCCTTTTTTTGTTGGTTTTTCTCTTTTTTTGGTTTTTTTTTTTCTTTTTTTTTCTTTCTTTTCTTTCCTTCCACGAGAACAACTAAATTAAATCCTGTGAATGCCCCGGCCTGTGTGTGCTGTGTGCGGCGGCGGGCGCAGAGCTGGGGCGCAGCCCGAGGCCCCACGTCGCCTCCTTCCACGAGAACAACTAAATTAAATCCTGTGAATGCCCCGGCCTGTGTGTGCTGTGTGCGGCGGCGGGCGCAGAGCTGGGGCGCAGCCCGAGGCCCCACGTCGCCCCCGAGGCCCCACGTCGCCACCGTCACCCGGAGCCCGAGGTGGCTGCTAGAGGGGGGTCACTGAGTGCGGGGCTGGGTCGAAGGGGGAGTGGGCTGGCCCGGGCTCAGCACGCGGTGACACGGACACAGCCGTGACCGGGGACACGGACACGCGGTGCGGCCGGACAAAAGCACCGGCAGGCCCAAAACGGGAGTCCTCGCGCGCCCGAACAGGGACTTGAACCCTGGACCCTCAGATTAAAAGTCTGATGCTCTACCGACTGAGCTATCCGGGCAGCTCCTGCTGTGGGGGGCACGGGGGGGAGCCACAGGGGGCCCTGGGCCTTCCTCCCCATCCTCCCCTTCCTCCCCCATCCTTCCCAT